TGGGAGGAGGGTAGAGAGAATAGTGCAACAATGAATGAGTGGAAGCCCAAAATCTCTGTAAATGTTTCTGAAAATTAATAAAATATAATTATAGAAAAAAAAACTTGATTAAAATTGGGTTGTCATTATGTGCTAGGCAACATTGCGTATAGTAAAAAATGACTAATTGATAGCCTGTATCTTTTGTCGTTGGTAGGTGCCATTGAGTTGACTAGGACTCATGACCACCCTGTGAGCAGCAGAGCAGAACCTTGCCCTCACCTGCACTGTCCTCATAATCCCTGATATGCTTGAGCCCATTGTTACAGTCACTGTATCAGTCTGTCTTGTTTAGAGTCTTCCTTCTGACCCTCCACCTTTCTCAGCATGATGTCCTTTTTCCTGTGACCTGGTATCATGATAGCATGCCCAAAGTATGTGAGATGAAATGCTCTAAGAAGCCGCCTAGTTGTACTTCCTCCAAGACAGACTTGGCAGTCCATGAGATATTCAGTACTCTAACACCACAATTCAAAGCTATCAGTTCTTCTCTGTCATCTTTATTCACCTTCCAATTTTCAGATGTGTAGGAAGCAATTGAAAATATGTGGCTAAGATTGGCCTTTAAACTGATAATTCTTGCTCTTTAGGACTCTGGAAAGGTACCTGAAAGTAGATTTTCCCCATGCAGTGTGTCTTTTGATTTCTTGACTGTGGTTACCATGAGTGCTGATTGTGAATGAAATCATGAAGAACTTCAATCTTTCCTCCACCTATTAGGATGTTGACTCTTAGACCAGTGGTGAAGATTTTTGTTCTCTGGATGTTGCAATATAATGCATATTGAAGGTATTATCTTTGTTCTTCTGTAGTAAGCACATCAGGTCCTCTTTAGTTTCTACAAGCAAGGTTGTGTCATCTGTATAACACAGGTTGTTGATGAGTCTTCCTCCAATTCTGATGCCACATTCTTCTTCATAGAGTCCAGTTTATTTGCTCAGCGTATAGTTAATTAATAATAAACATAATATGAGGTGTGAGGGTTTTACGGCAATGTCTTCCACATCTACCATATATAAACCTCATCCCTGAACTCTTGGGTTGCTATAGACACTTGGCCGAAAGCAGATGCTTGATGTCGTCTTCCTGGTAGATGTTTGTCTCCATCTTGTATCCTTCTAGGCTGGTTAATGCTCCTGGGGTTTTTTCACTTGGCCGTGTGAGTCTGAATGTTAACCCCACAATGTCTAGAGAATGGTAAACTAGTACAAGTCTATAGTTTTCTTTTTTATTTCCAAAATAAGAAAATTTCTATTAATCAATTTCGTTTTATTGGTGTTTTTGGAAGAGCAGTAGACTATGAGTCTGAACACACAACTTTTAGTCCTTGCTTTTAGATAATGAATTCTGCATCCACAAATTCCATTTCCCCGAGCTTTGCACTGTCCACAGCACACCCAGGATGTAGGGGTGGCATTTTGAACCCCGCTCCGAGGCAGAATGTGGGGGGACCGCTGCCTCTTAAGAGGGCAACCTCATTCCTTCTTGCTTGGGACTGACACACCCAGCTGAGAAGAGGACTAGCAGGAGGGAAATCCTGATTCATACTTCACTCTCTGTCCTCTTTCCATTCTCAAGATTGGGTTGTTTGTGGGTGGCATAATAATTTTAAAATTTATTTTGGCCTCTGCCACATCCCAGTTCCCGTAGCTTTTAAGTCCAGTGTCCTTTGGCTTTTCTCCATATGTTCACTAAGCTGAAATTGAAAATTTCTAAGGCCTGGTTTTCCCTCTGTGCGTGGCTTATAGGCCCGTCTCAGGAGCTGTAGTACCAATTCCATGAAAGCCTGCTTTTAGCAGGCAGAGGGTGCCCCTCGTGTCCATTCTCTGAGAATGTCAGGCAGTCTGAGAGAATATGAATTCACATGAAATAGCACCATGCACACACTTACCTTCTGGTGTGTGTGCATGGTTAAGCTAGTTGTCTTCCCTCTAATCATCTTAATTTTATGATTTATTCAGCATATATTATGTTTATTGTAGAAATGTTTATATAACTTGCTTTCCATATCAGGGAAAATCATATCTGTTTAATAAATTGACTATAAATTTAATATTTGTGGACAACTTGTAAAATTTGGAATGTACCATATGTAAAAAGTTTAAAGATATCCAAATAAATGTGTTAGGTGTTGACATTAAAAAAAAAAAAAATAGATAATGAATTCTGTTGCCTTGGGCAAGTACTTAATCACTCTAGAATTCCATTTGCTTAAGTGTCAGATAAGAAATTTGACTGATGCTATTTCTGATGTCCCTTCCAACTCTAAATCTTGTAGTCCCTTTCTACACTTATCATAAGGTCATTTTAAATCCTCTTATATAGGAACATACCAGATTTTGTTTAGGCCAACAGATTATCAAATATCTGAAAGCCCAAGATACTATACTGTGCATTCTTCCAAACTTGGATTTTGGGAAGTCTGTCATATTACAACTGCATAGTTCAAAACGACATTAGCTACCAACATGATAGAATTTAAGGAATTCATTTAAATACAGAATATTTGAGACACTTTTAGAGGTGTGGGGAGGTACAGAGAAGGTTTGATGAGCTTTTGATGATTTCATTTCTAGGTTGTGAACTGGCTTGAAGGACCTGGATCAGAACAACTGAGAGCACAGTGGGGGATTGGAGACTCCATTAGGGCCTCCCAGGCCCTGCAGCAGAAGCACGAGGAGATTGAGAGTCAACACAGTGTGAGAGTCCTTTTCCTCCACAAGTTACAACGCTCTTATTGATAAGTATAATTTGGCCTATTTGGTAATGAGAAGGTGCTATTTAGTATAGGAGCAAAATGGACATCATGTATAATGGTAATTAAAACCCACACCCTGCTGTGGAACGAATTCCAACTAACAGCCACCCGAGAGGACAGAGTAGACCTGCCTCATATGGTTTCCAGGGTTTCAGATCTTTGTTGAAGAGGCGGCCTCGTCTTTCTATCTATGAGCAGCTGGTGAATTCAAACCACTGACCTTTTGCTGAGTAAAGTTATCCAGTACTTAAGTCTACTGTTCCCTCAGGACCCGTTTGTTTAATATTTAAAGCTATAAAGTTTACTTTGACCAATTAGTATGTGTGGGAGGTTAGGTTTGGTTTTATAGCCAGTATAATTTAAATTATATGAAAATATAAAGATGATTTTGACAGAAAAATGAATGATAGTGAAAAATACAGCCTTCATTTATAGTTTGTGAGACTGAAATGACCATTGTTTAGTCCTCAGAAAGAAGCCTTCCCTGATTTATTGAGAATGTTTGCTAGTTGCTGTTCAGTCAACTCCAATTCATGAGGATTCCATGTGTGGCAGTAGAACCACATTCCATAGGATTTTCTTTTGCTGTTTCAGAGGGAGATCACCAGGCTTTGATTTGGAAATTTCTGATTGCACTCAGACCTTCTACCCTCTAGTTAGCAGCCAAGTGCTTAATCTTTGTACAACTTGGGGACGTGATAATACCATTAACTTGAGTATGATGCCGGAATTGCTGCATTTAATGTAACTGATGGAGAGTGACTTGAGAGGGTTCAGGATGGTTATCTGTTATCTATATTGAAGGGTCCATTTGTTTAATTGTAAAGGGATTAATAAAACAGGTAATAGGTATGAAACTTAACAGGCAGACAATAGGAAACAAACCACTTCACAGTCAGACTGTAGGTAATAATTGTTTAATAGAGAGTTTGAAATGTGTTTTTGTTAAGTTCCTACTTAAGTCTTCATTATTTAGATGTGGTCATCCTTCCAGTTTGTGGATCAAGTAACTTTTCACTTCTAGGTCATATTACTTATAGTCATTTTAAGTGAGATTGGTTTTTATTCCCTTAGATTATTTGTCTTAAAAATTGTTCAGTAACATGATTAAACCCTGGTCCTCTGTGAGTTTTAAGGAGGTTCTGAATATACCTGAAGGGTGTTTTAGTTATTTTTTTTTTCCTTTCTCATCAACTGTCATAATTAAAGTGGTAATAAAAAGTTGGATTAACAACAACTCAGTTCAAATTAATTCATTGCCATCGAATAAGATCTGTGTCTGGATTAGCAGTGCATCTCCCAAGAGACTATACCACCAGAGCTCCCTATTTTAAGCATTGTGACCTAATTATTTTCTTTTTAAATTATTACCTTTCTGCTTGGTTGTCTAAGTATGACTTTCTTTATAATATTCTTCAGATAATGCTGTACCCTGAAGCAGCTGTAATCTAGCTGTGTGAATAATATATAAGAATGAAGTAGCACAAAATAAAGTCATTAAAGATACATATGAAGGTCCAAATTTGTGTTTATGAGACATACCAAGTGAAATCTCATAATTTAAAAATTCATATATACTTTATATATGTTTTTGTTCCAACATAATAATTCTCTTTTTTATGCTAAAGAAAGCTGTAAGAGGTTTTTATCTAATTTACAACCCCCTTGACTTTTCTGGTATTTTAATAATAACTTCTTGTTATGTGCCATTGAGTTGACTACAACTCATAGTGAGTGACCATATGAACAGTTGCTCTGAAACCTGCCCTGTCCTGAGCCAGCCCCATCATCTCTTATACAACTGACTACATTGCCAGTCACTGTGTCAGTCCATTTCATCCAGTGTTTTACTCTCCTGTACTGACCCTCTGTCCTTCCAAGAATGGTGCCCCGTCTCCAAGGACTAGTCCCTCCTGGCAAAATGCCCAAAGTATATGAAATGAAGTTTAAAAATCCTGGAGTTTAGAAAACCACATTTTAATCCAGAATAGACCTCTTTGTTTTCTTGGCAGTCCTTGGTATGTTCAGAACTCTTTTCCATAATCATAACTCAAAGCATCAGTTCTTTTTCTGTCATCCTTAATCATTGTCCATCTCTCAAGTGCATGGCAAGCAATTGAGAAGACCATGGCCAAATAAGGCACACTTTATTTTTATATGGTTCTACGTTAGCTGGATTTTGGGTTCCAGGGCATATAGTAAAAAATGGTAAAGCTGTATTATAGAGTTTGTTCCCTCTTTTCATGAACCTGAGCAAATCAGTGGCAACTTTTCTCCTTATTTCTTGAAGACTCTATTTACTGAAGAATATTCTAGACTTTATCACAGAGAGTGCTATAAAAGTATACCAAAACTTCTTTTAATAGAGGAACGTTACATTAAAAATGCATCTGGTACAGGCCATGGTCTTTGCAATCACTTGTTATGTGTCAGAGATCTGGACAATGACCAGGGAAGATAGAAGGAGGATTGATGCTTTTGAGCTTTGGTGTTGGAGAAGAGTGCAGAGGGTACCATGGACTGCTAAGAAAACAAACAGATTCATCCTGGAGAGGGTTAAACCGGGCTGCTCTTTGGAGACAAGGATTCTGAAACTTCGTCTGATATACTTTGGTCATGTTGTAAGGAGGGACCGGTACTTGGAGAAGGACATCGTGCTTGGGAGGGTGGAGGGCAGGCACAGGAGGGGAAGGCCCTCTGGGAGGTGGATTGATTCAGTGGCTGGGGCAGTTGGTATGAGTGTGTCGAAGACAGTGAGATTGGCACAGGACAGAGCAGAGTTTAGAGCTGTTGTACATAGGGTCGCTATGAGTCGCAAGCAACTCAGTGGCACATAACAACAACAACAACAACACGTTGTATTAAGGTCTTGAAGAGAATATTCATCTCTATTTTCTTATTTTTCTTTTTTTCCCCTTATTTTTCAAAACAAATAATTGGAGTTCAAAGTCAGATGATATATATATTACACAAATATTCTAATGCCATCAATTTACACAGGAATAAACTTAGAGACTACATTTTTTTATCAGTAAAGACTGGATAGTCACCGATTAAAATACAGGTTACCAGTTTCCAGTTGGGAAACGTTGCTTTATGTGAGAAAGTTGCTAAATTTCATAGATTTACTTAATAATTATTTTGGATTCTTGAACTGGAAATTGTGCATATTTATATGGCAGTCTGCTTTCATACATACGCACCTAGTCACTCTCTCATCAATTACTTCTGCTCCGCCATCTCTCCAAAATTTGAGGAGGACAGAGTGAATTGAAGGTATAGGTAACAGAACTTACCAGGAGTTGGTAATTATTGAAGCTGGTTGGTACACAAAATTTTCATTACTTTTGAATGTGTTTGAAATTTTTACTTCTAAATGGTGCGAAGAGAACATTTAACCAACAGGTGGCACTGCACTGTCACCTGGGGTGGGGGGCAGGTTACTTGGATTGAATACATGAGCTTTTCAGGGCTAAGGTATTCTATATTTTACTAAAAGTAATTTTTTAAATAACAGTTAATACTTTTGGAAAGTTACTGTGATTGTTCAGATCTTATGAAATAAATGTCTAGTATTTGGGTAGAGTTTGGAAATATTTTTTAAAGTACTGTTTTGCATTAAATTACTCATAAAAATATAATGTGGAAATAAGTACAAAATCAAATTTATTACTATATTCAGTACTAATGTACAAAAAAATTAATCTCCTATTATATATTCCTTATCAAGGACTGTAAATTGTAAGCTGTTCCATTTTCGAATGCTAGCTAAGCACAATAGAAAGTGTTAAGTTACCTGGAGGTGATTTTTGTAATCAACAGTAGATATGATAGTGTTTTGATTGACCTTTTGGGTAAGATGTGAATGACAACTGCTAGTGCACTGTGCTCAATAATAAGTAATATAAAGAATCTTCCTAAAAATCAAAAATAATTTCTCCCCAACATATATTCTAAACATAAGTTCCTTTTTAAACTAAGTGTGTTAGCAGTGTTACTTCCTTTTTGATTGGGTCTCTCATCCTGTACTATAACCGCCTGTCATTTTACCAGCTGTGCATCAGTACTAACCTCAGTGACAAAATAGGTGAATGCTAGACAGTGATGGCCCTTCCTGACTCAGTAGAATGATCTGCCCTACTCCCAGAAAGGGGAAGAATCACTAACCTTTTAAATCTAACCTCAAAAAGATGTTGAAGAAAAGAAGTGAGGTCTGAGAACAGTTTTGGGCATACAAAGCTTCATGTCGTCAGAGACATGCTGGTCTTTCCGTGTTAGACTGAAAGATTAAAAGGAAGAAACAGAATCTGGGGTCCTTTGTAATTGGTACTGCAGCATCAGTGTGTATGCATGCCTGGGTAGTCAGTGATTGGTGGAATCACTGACTATCTCTGACTGCTCCCTTTTGCTGAGACTAGTTGGACAGGTGTGGTCTTTGCTTTTCCCCACATTGGTACATAAATGTTGCCTAGCTGTTCTCAAAAACAAAAGCTCCTTGGGTTACTGGGAAATTCCCATGGGTATTTTCAGAACTGGAGACAATCTAATCTAGTTCTTTATCCTACAGGATAAGTCAATGGAGATGTGTGCTTTGAGAGACGAGGGAAGGAAAATGGTCTAGAAGTAGTAAGGAGTGAAGAGAGCCATCTCCAGGGTTCGGGTGGACCAGTCAGGTGTGGAAATAAAGCAGGATCCCTGAAAAGAGTGCGGTTTCCCTGAGAGTACCCAGACTTCACTGCACAAGGGAAGGGAACATTTTGAGGCCAAAATAAGTATATACAGGAGATGTTCCTGGGGCTCGCAGTACTAGGGTTTGTGGGCTGGCAACTTTTTATTGCATATTTAAATAATTTTACCTTGGGATATTTTTCATAAATGTTTATGTAGAGAAAATATAAAATAGAATGTACCTCTCTGGCACCTAATCTGATGCTGCATTTACCAGGCCACTTGTCAATTCCAGGAATGGTTTGCAGTGTATGTGGAACTGAATCAACAAATTGCAGCTCTCTTGAACGCTGGGGACGAAGAGGACCTTGTGGAGCTGAAGTCGCTGCAGCAGCAGTTGAGTGATGTTTGTTACCGACAAGCCAGTCAGCTCGAGTTCAGGCAAAACCTGCTCCAGGCAGCTCTTGAATTTCATGGGGTTGCACAAGATGTAAGTGTCTACTCAATTGCTTTGCTTTTCTTAAAATTATCTGAACACTTATCTACACGTAATTTTTGTAGATTTGCCTGTCTGCTAATTATGTCTCTGGAACAATAGCATATTACTAGGAGACATGAGATAAGATTACTTGATTGCCTTTTCATTTTGTTTTGAAACCATTCTGCGTGTATTTAAACCTATTTTCTAACTAGTGTGCCCAATCTCATAGACGTGCACTTTGACTGTTTCTCTATATTTATGCTTTGTAGCACAGATTGAAATAGGAATTTCAGTTATATTTTACTTTCTGGCCTGGACTCTTCTCCACCCTACCTTCCTGGTGCATGCACCTCTGTATTCTGTCTTTCAGATAACAAGCCTCCAGTTATTTGTCCTTGTCTTTTATTGCATAGCCTTCAAGTGCAATTATGATAACCTCATTAGATATAAACCTCATTAATCATGAAATGCTTTAGATGCTGATTACATCAGAGTTCTCTCTTTGGTCCCTCCACTTTAGTTGTCTCAGCAGCTGGATGGCTTATTAGGAATGTTGTGTGTAGATGTTGCACCAGCTGATGGAGCATCGATTCAGCAAACTTTAAAGCTGCTTGAAGAGAAGCTAAAAAGTGTTGGTAAGCAGATTTTAAAAATGCTGCTAAGAGTTTTGGTTTTTTTTAAAAAAAAAAAATATCATTAATGTGATTAGATAATTAAGTCAACTTTCACTGAACTAATTCCTTACAAGGAAAAAAAGTAATATAGAAGGTCTTAGTCCGTAGAGGGGAGTACAGTTTATGATAAAATATTTCTTTTACATTGTTGGTCAGTCACTCCTCCCTTCATTGGGCCTGCAGCCTTCCTTGTTTACTCAGCTGTAGCTACAGGTCCTATGTCTTGTGTATACTGTGAACAGTTTTTTGTAGTACATGCATAAACTGGAATTAGCTGTGAAGTGTTCTGTGATAAACCCTGTGTGGCCCAAAGTATATTTTATGCAGTAATTTTTGTTATTGTATCCTAATCATTAAAAAAATAGTTGGTTTGGTTTTGTGCATTTGTTTCTTTAAATTGGAAATATGGCCAAGTCTCCCAGGTATTAGAGGATGGTCCAATTCATTAAGCAAGTTCTGTTACTTAACAACAGGTTATTTATGTTTTCCTGGAGCAGGAAATGCACTGAACTAACTTCCCTAGATCATGACTAAAGAGGTTGCTAGTGAATGTGAAAATGGGGAGGGTGTTGTACTGGGGGAGAGTGGAGCAGAGAGGGGAATATGGAGCAGAGGAAATAGAAATGGCAGGCAGAGCAGTAATAGCAGGTGGAAATACATGATGGAACTAAACTAATTATTGAAAAGCACTCTAAGGAATTGATTTAAAAAGTCATGTATGACTTGGCATTTATACTTGCTTGCAGAATTTATGTTTTAACAGATCATATACTTAATATATAGACAGTATTTGATATGCCAAATGTAATTTATTTTAAAATGTCAAAAAATTTTCTTGAGTCACACTTTGCCTTTAAATAAGGAAGACTTGCTGTATACTTACCTAGTTTGGAATACTGTAAATCTGTGCTAAATATTACTTCCCATGGCATGTAAACTGGTGTTCTTATTATGTACCATGAAGTTGGAACCCACCCAGAGCTGATCCACTTGTGGGTTTTTGGAGGTGTACATTGCACAGGAGAGGAGCTTGCCCATTCTTTCTCTTGAGGAGCAACTGGTAGATTTAAACTGGGTTACTTCAGGTTGGTAGCACTGCTCCTAACCATTAGACACCAGAGCCCCATAAACAAAATGTATAGTGCCCTTTTACATTGAGAGGGAGTTGCAGAGTGTTTTGATCTCTTGTAACTGTTTTACTTTTTTTTTTTTATTCTTTGATTTTGAAGGTAATGGATTAAATATATTATTTTAGAATTTGAAGATGAAACATAGCTTTGATACCGAGCCATACACAATACCAGTTTTGTTTAAATTTAAACACAATATTTACTTATTTTTAAGCTACATAAAAAAATTATATGAGAAATATTGAAAAATTTTTGTTAGTTAAAATTGAAATTTTCACATTTCCTGTGTTTAGTTTAGTTCTTTTTTTTTTAATTATTACTTGTGCAAACTCTTTTTTTTGGACATTCTCACTAGGGAGAATTTTGGCATGACAGAGGGTTCCAGCTTGAGCCATATAAAAAGGAGTTTTATTGCTTGAAATGTTTCGAGGACTCCATCCTAAGACAGTTTAATGAACAGAGCTGTTATACTTGGAATCTAAGGGCAGGATGTGCTGAGTTGAGTTATCTGAGGGAGGGAAGACACCTTAAATATGTAAGAGATTAAATCTAGTAACTTTTGTTTTTTTAGATGTGGGATTGCAGGGGTTACGTGAAAAAGGTCAAGGCCTTCTGGATCAGATTTCCAATCAAGCATCCTGGGCCTATGGAAAGGATGTGACCATTGAAAACAAGGAAAATGTGGACCATATTCAAGGAGTGATGGAAGATATGCAGCTTAGGAAACAAAGGCAAAGTTTAATTCTTAATGTTCTTTTACTAAGAAAATATTAATTCACATTTATGTAATTTGTATTTTCATATCCAAAAAGAGGCTATTATATAGTAGAATGTTTGGTGAATATAATAACGAATTTTATAGTTTATTAACAAATAATGATTATTTTCCCTTTTGATCATACTCATACCTTTTCCTTTTCTGTTCTGTAGTAACATTTCAGTTATACCCAAGTACCTCATATTTTGTATCCCTAGTGTAGCTCATGACTCTTTTTTTCTGTTTTAAATAAAGACTTTTAGAGAACTTAATATTTCTACTTTAGTTTAGGGTTTCTAATAAGTGTGTCCTCTTCTTTGATATGTTGTGGTTTTTTGTATTCAAACTCATAAAGTTACATATCCATTGTTTTCATATTTTCTGTAGAAGAATTAGATAAATGGATTCTGTGTAAGATGATGTTTAGCTTCATTTAATATAGAGCAAAGAACTGAATAGATTCTTTATAAGGTCATACTGTAAATAAGGTCATTTTGTTTTATAACAAAGCAAAAACAAACTCAGTGAGATGCCATCCGGTCATGTCCAACCCATGAAGACCTTGTGCATTTTAAAGTACAGTGTGTTCTCAGTGATTGATCTTTAGAAAATAAATCCCCAGGACTTTCTTTCCATGAACCTTTAGAGAGATTTGAACTCCCAGCCTTTTGGCAGGTAGCCAAGCACATAACTTTTTGCACCTTAGTTTGCAATAGAAATGGCAAAATATTCCAGAGTGAAGGATTGAAATCTTGTTTGTAAATCTGTTTAACATAGTCTTGTGACATGTTTGCATACTTTAGAATTGTAAAGTCATCAAGAAAACTTCATAGAAGCTCTTCCCCTGACTCACAGTTAAATAACTGTCATATATACATTCCTTCTACATTGTATTCTTATATCTGAAAACTATTTCACTATTTAGTTTTAGTATTACCTAGTAGGATGACTCGTGCTCAGGCCGTTCGTTCATAGGGTCGCTATGAGTCGTCTATGACTCGAAACAAATATAGATCTCTCCCAGTCAGTTGGCCAAGTGGTTGTTCTCCAGATTTCTTGGTACAACTTGGTGAGCACATCCAGGGCAGCATCTGTTAGCTGAAATATGTCAATTGGTATACCATCTATTCCTGGAGCCTTATTTTTTTGCCATTTCCTTCAAAGCAGCCTGAACTTCTTCTTTCATCCCATCCCAATTTTGAACCATGCAATGTTCCCTTGCTCTGTTCTGACGACTGCATCCTGGTCCAAATATAGGTTTGGCGTTAGCACGATCAAGTGTTCTGGGATTCCCATTCTTCTCAGAGTCAGCCACAGTTTGTTATGATCCACACAGTCAAATGCCTTTGCATAGTCAATGAAACACAGATAGACATTCCTCTGGTATTCTCTGCTTTCAGCTAAGATCCATCTAACATCAGCTACAATCCGTAGTACCACGACCCCTTCTAAACCCAGGATGCATCCTATCTCCATACCTTTTCAACCTATATGCAGAACAGATTATCCGGGAGGTTGGGCTCTATGAGGAGAAATGTCGGGTCAAGATTGGTGGACGATTTATCAACAATCTGCGTTATGCAGATGACACAACCCTGCTTGCTGAAACTGAGGAGGACCTGAAGTGCTTGCTGCAGAGGGTCAAGGACTGCAGCCTCCAATATGGATTGAGGCTAATGTCAAGAAGACAAAGATTGTCACCACTGGACCAATTGGCAGCATCAGGATGGATGGTGAAGAGATTGAGATAGTACACAGCTTTAGTTTGCTTGGCTCCACAGTCAGCACTCTTGGCACCAGTAGCCAGGAAATTAAAAGGCGCATTGCCATGGGAAAGTCTGCTGTTAGGGACCTCTCCAAAGTACTGAAGAGCAATGGTGTCTCTCTGGAGACTAAGGTGTGTTTGATACAGGCCATGGTCTTCACAATCACTGTTATGCATCAGGGAGTTGGACAATGACCAAGGAGGATAGAAGGAGAATTGATGCCTTTGAGCTGTGGTGCTGGAGAAGAGTATTGAGAATACCATGGACTGCTAGGGAAACAAACAGATTCATCCTGGAAAGGTTTAAACCAGGTGGCTCCTTGGAGGCAAGGATTCTGAGGCTCCGTCTAACATACTTTGGACATGTTGTGAGGAGAGACTGATCCTTAGAGAAGGACATCATGCTGGGGAGGGTGGAGGGAGAGCGCAGGAGGGGAAGGCCCTCTGTGAGGTGAATTGATTCAGTGACTGGGATAATTGAGATGGGTGTGTCAGAGACAGTGTGATTGGCACAGGACAGAGCAGAGTTTAGGGCTGTTGTACATAGGGTTGCTGTGAGTCACAAGCAACTCAATGGCACATAACAGTAGGATGACAGAGAACCTTGTTGTTTGGTGCTATTGAATCAAGTAAAATGCATGGTGACCCTATAAACAGCAGTTCTGAACCTTGTTCCATCCTGTGCTATCCTCATCATCTCTAATGCACATGAACTTCTTTGCTGGTGGCTTAGTGGTAAGGAATCAGACTGCCAATGCAAAGGTATGCAGTTCAAATCCACTGGCTGCTCTTTAGGAGGAAAATGAGCAGTACCGTCCCATCTAATTAACTGTTTCTGAAAACATGCTGGAGGGTCAGCTATGAGACTTCATTTCTACTTGATGATACACACAACAAGTAGGATATTAATGCTCTCTTCTTCTCAAAACCAATCTTTCCATCACATCACCCTTCTGGCTCCTTACTGCATAGACACCCACTCTGTGCTGTGCTCTTCTTTTCATTTGAGTGCTTATGACTCTCCTATGTAAAAAGATTTTTAATAAAACCACAACCTACAGGCACACATTTTCTTCATCCTCTTTCTTGTTTCTAGCCTCAGAGCTCTTTTTGCTCAGTTTAGTCATCTGACAGCCTAATCTACATTCTCATTACTTCTTCACTGCTTCCAGTTCTCTTATCAGCTGTCTACATGCTGACTTCCTTAGCCCTCACCATATTACTGCAGTCACTGTAAGTACATCTGAGAACTGGATAATGAATAAGGATGGTAGAAGAATTAATGCCTTTTAAAAGCTATGGAGTTGGAAAAGAGTACTGAACATCTCATGGCTTTCCAAAAGAACAGATAGATTTATCTTGAAGAAGGTACAGCCATAAGTGCTCCTTGGAGGCAAAGATGAATCTTAGTCTCACATACTTTAGGCATGTTGCTGGGGGAGGTGATTCTTTGGAGAAGAACGTCATCCTTAGGTAGGTCAAGGATCACCAAAAGAGAGGAAGACTCTCAGCCAGGTGGATTGACATAGTGACTGCAGCAATGGGCTTGTGTGTGTCAGAGATTGTGAGGATGGCACCGTGTAGGATAGGGTTCAGATTGGTTATTCATCGGGCCGCTATAGTTGTACTTGACTTAATGATACTTAACAACAGTTGTTTCTGATGTCTCCAGTGACATTGTAGTTACCAAATGCAATCAATACATGTCTTCATCCAAAATCCACTGAGTACTCCTGACCTTGCTAGGCCACTGAGTAGAAGTGAACTTTATCTTTGTTGTTAAAACTCCTTGACAACTTTGTCTTCCTTGAAATCATACTGTGATCACTGTCCCTGGCATTGTTTCTCCTCAGTTTTTTTCAGTGATGTCAGTTAGCCAACAGGAGACTTCCAAGGCTTGTTCCAAGGTCAGATTCTTTTCTCATTCTGCAAGGTCAGATTCTTTTCTCATTCTGTTTCCTCATTTAACAGTGTTACTACTCTAATTTTTAAAAATACCATGATTTAATTGTTATAACCCTAACCCAGACTAATTTTACTACTCAGATTTATGATTCCAATTGCCTACTGTGTGTATCTTCATTTGGCTACCCTGTTCTTTGCCCAAGTTCAGTACACCCAGATTGGAATCTCCTTGCCTTCTTCAACTTGACACTTCTTAAATTTCTTAACTAGGTTAAAGGTACCTGATCTTTGAAATCTGGGACCTCTGAAGGAGCAGTCCATGCTCTGCTGATTTGGATCAGGTTAAAAGATGGGCTGTCTCCTTTCATGATATTTAAAGCCTTCAAAACCTGCTGGAGAGTCAGATATGAGCTGGTTCCAATTTGGCCAACAGTGAGAGCCAAAGAGACCTCAAGTCTTTTCCTCCCTCACATTCTTACAACGTGATCAAAGGTCTGAGTTATAAGGTGCCTAAACAGTTTGTTCTGAGATGTTATCAGTTATTACCTTGACCTTGGCTTTTCTCCAATCATTTGTACAAGAGAGTAATCTTTTGTATAAAACCACCCAATGACTTCTTTCTTTCTCAGATGGAGTTTAGTCTGGAGTCCTGTAGGAGACCCTTCACAATCCAGCCATGCATAATCTTATCTAACTTTCTCACAAAACCACACAACTACTTTTGTCTCCTGGATGCATTATCTGCTTTCTGCATACCTAACTTAAACTACCACTTTCCTCAATTTTTGACTAGTAAGATCTCACTACAAGGTTCTGGGATACTTTTTTCCAGTAAATATTTTTGGATTTCCAAGGCAAGTTGGTTACTGATTCTTCCTACACCTACTAAAACATTGAAGTATATGTGTAGATGAATTACAATGGGAAAATCTGCTGTCAGGGACCTCTCCAGAGTATTGAGAAGCAACGATACCAGTCTAGAGACTTAAGGTGCATCTGAGTTAGGCCATGGTCTTCGCATTTATTTGCTATGCATCAGAGAGCTGGACAATGACTATAGATGACAGAAGAATTGATGCCTTTGAATTGTGGTGCTGGAGAAGAATATACCATGGACTGCCAAGAAAACAAATAGGTCTGCCTTGGAGAGGGTGAAACCAAGCTTCTCCTTGGAGGCTAGGATTTTAAAGCTGTTTCACATACTTTGGGCACGTGACCAGGAGGGACCAGCCCTTGGAGAAGGCCATCATGCTTGGAAGGGTAAAGGGACAGCACTGAAGAGAAAGACCCCACATGAGATGGATTGATACATTAACTGGGATAACATGGATAGGCGTGTTGGAGTTAGTAAGACTGGGCAGACTTTAGAGCTGTTGTACCATTGGGTTACTGTGAGTCGCAGACACCTTGATGGCACATAACAACGACAGTATAATAACATTTATCATAAGAAATTATGATTATCATTATTTAAAATTTCATCTGAAATAATGAACATCTAGATAGTAAACTTGAGATTTTTCTCCCCAGCACTATATCCAGTGCCTTGTGTGTAATATGCATTAAAAATACATATATATGAAATAATCATAAAGTTGCTTGCAGTTTTTAAGATCAAATTTTAAATAATTATCATCCCTTCACTCCTGTGATATACTTTATCATTATGCCATAGGCTCTTATTTAGAACATTCTGATAAGAAATAACCTTGTGATAATCACTTTTGTATAGTTATCAGGATATCTTTAAGAATTTAGTGGCACTCATTGCCTTCTGGGTAATTAGGTATTGCTATTTTAAACTGCCATTGTGATTACTCCTTCCCACTTTTTGAAAAGAAAACTAAATTGCATGAAAATGAAGGAAACACATTTAAAACTGAGTTAGATTAAATCACCTTAAAAGTTTGATCTGTATATTAACCAGGCATACCAATGTACAACTAAAAAATTTCCCCAAGCTGTATTTTATCTAAGTCCAGAAATCAGTAGATGGTTCTCAAGCATAAGAAAATAGATATAATTTAAATTTTTTAAAATTCTGAGTTGAATATTATTCTGGGTATATAATGAAATGTTAAGTTTTTTCTAAGTCTTTAGGATCTCATCTTCTACATTGTTACTTGAGAAAATTTACATTTATTTTTCTTTTTGAAATTTACTCAGTGCAAGTTCGCAACAATTTTCTATGAGTTTTAGTATATTATTCTGTTTATGCTTTGCTTCGATATTTTGCAGAATCCATGCTATCTTCAAGAGAGTTTCTGATTCAATATCATTCAGGTATTTTGAGGTTTCAATGTAGCATAGTTCTAGATACATAGATACCCTTAAAATTCAACAACACAACATAGTTGCAGTCTCCATAGTGTAGGACTAAATATTTTAGTATATGATCTAGTATGGCTCTAATACATGTATTGGACTTACGAGTTATCATCATAAGTGAAATAATGTCCTAAATTTTTATTTGTACTTGTTAGATGTGAAGACATGGTGGATGTGCGGAGGTTAAAGATGCTTCAGATGGTGCAGTTGTTTAAATGTGAGGAAGATGCTGCCCAGGTAAGCATTATTAAGTCATCCATGTTACGCAGATTCCATAGAAAGATTAATATTAAGTCAGATTTTAGTTTATTCTGTTGAAATGAAAACAATTTATATTACCAGTTAATTAGCCTCATTTGATTTATTGTCTCAGTTGAGATTTTTCTTTTTCGTTATTGATTCAGTAGTCAGTTGTATCTCAGTATAAAGGTTGTTGTTAACATACTGCTTTTCAGCTTACTGGAGGTTTATGTTTTTTTTTTGTGCAGATAAACGGTTTGATAGCTATATAGTTCAAATCAGAAAATGTCATTTTGACTTGATAGAGAAGAAACTTATGGTTTTTGTAGTATTAGGAATCAGTATACCAAAAGAGTTGGCTGACACAGAAGAATTTCATGAAACAACATATGATCAGGAGGCAATGGTGATGAAGGAGGAAGCTCAAGCTGCTCTAAAGGCAAAAAAATCAAGGCCCCAGGAAATGATTATGTACCAACTGACATACTTCAACAGACAGATGCTGCCCTGGACCAGCTCACCAGGTTGTGCCAAGAAATCTGGAGGACACCTCCCTGACCAGCTGACTGAAAGAGATTCATATTTATTCCCATTCCAAAAAAAGTGATCCGTATGCTTTTGTTATGAGACCCTTGTCTGAGATGCTATTGCCAAATGTTTGTTCCCAGTCAGTAGGCTTTCTTTAAAAAAAGTTTTTGATGAGTACAGAGATTTAATCTTTAGAAAGTCTCATTCATCAATTTTATCCTCTCCAGACTGTGCATTTCTGGCTTTATTTAGCAGTCTCTTTATACCATACACTAAGCCTTCTAAGCTTGGTCCCAGCTTGTCTCTTAAGAACTTTGTGGTTTGGGGCAGAACGAAATACTTCTGGACCTACAGGAGAAAAAGATTGATAACCCAGTGACAAATGAGCAAAAAATATGGAAAGACTTTTTTAAAAAAATTTTTTATTAATTTTAATGAACATTTACAGAGATTTTGGATTTCCATTCATTCGTTGTTGCACTTTTCTCCCTGCCCACTCCCCCACCCCCAGTTAGCTCTTCTCTTTGAAAAGTAAAATTCCTTCATTGGTATACAACCCCCCCACATACACACCCCTTCACCTTCCCCACCTCCTCACCTCCCCCGCCCCGAGTATACTCCACTCTGCAACCTTCATGAAACTGTTTTCTCCCTCATCCGTTTCAATGCAGTATACATAATTTATCTAGTTTTTCTCATTCTTACCCCAACCCTGATGTCAGTTCCATTCTACAACAGTGGCACTATGCACTATTTGTCCTTTAGTGACTGAGATATTTCACTCAACATAAGGTCCTCCAGGGTCACCCATTTTGAATAATATTGCATGAGTTCCTTGTTTTTCAATGCAGCGTAGTATTCCATTGTGTGACTATACCACAACTGCTCTAGCCATTCATTAGTTGGTGGGCACTTAGGTTGTTTCCAACTCTTTGCTGTTGTGAACAAAGCCATGATAAACATGGGTGTGCATATATCTGCTTGGATGGTAGTTATGGTCTCTTTAGGGTATATTCCCAGTAGTGGAATTGCTGGGTCAAATGGTATCTCTATTTGCAACTTTTTGAGAAAGCGCCACACTGCTTTCCACAGTGATTGCACCATTTTACACTTCCACCAACAGTGAATAAGGGTTCCAGTCTCTCCACAACCTTGCCAGCATTTGTTGCTTGCTGTTCTGTTAAATTTTGCTAGTCTTACTGCGGTGAGATGATATCTCATAGTTGGCTTGATTTGTATCTCTCTTAGAGCTAGGGATTTTGAACATTTCTTCATGTGCTTGTTGGCCATCTGAATGTCTTCTTTGGTGAAGTGTCTGTTCATATCCTGTGCCCATTTTTCAATTGGATTATTTACTTTTATCTTGTTGTAGTGCTCAAGTATTTTATAAATTCTAGATATAAGTCCCTTATCTGACATGTCATAACCAAATACTTTTTTCCCAGTCTATGACTTCCTTTTTACTCTGTTGGAGAAGTTTTTGGATGTGCATAGGGATTTGATTCTTAGAAGGTCCCATTCATCTGTTTTATCTTCTCCTGGTTGTAGATTTTTCAGGATTCTTGGAAGACTATTTATGTTGTGGATTCAGACTTCTGGATTTTTTCCAAGCTTTTCTTTAATGAAGTTTATAGTCCTTGGTTTTAGTCCTAGGTCCATGATCCACCTTGAGTTGGTTTTTGTGTATGGAGTGAGGTGTACATCTTGCTTGAGTCTTCTGCAGATATTTTTCCAATTTTGCCAACACCATTTGTTTAAAAGGCTGTCGTTTCCCCACTTAAGTGATTTCATCACCTTGTCAAAATTCAGTTGACCATAAATAGATGGGCTGATTTCAGGGTTCTCAATTCTATTCAATTGATCTCTGTGTCTTTCGTTGTACCAGTACCATGCTGTCTTAACTCCCACAGCCGTGTAGTAGGATTTGAAATCAGGGAATGAGATGCCTCCTACCTTCTTTCTATTTTTAAGGAGTGCTTTGCTTATTTAGGGCTTCTTTCCATTCCAGATGAAACTGGAGATTACCTTTTCCATCTCTTTGAAGAATGCGATTGGTATTTGTATTGGGATTGCATTGAATGTGTAAATTGCCTTTGGTAGTATTGCCATTTTCACAATATTGAATCTTCCTATCCATGAGCGAGGGATATTCTTCCACTTCTCCAGGTCTCTTTTTGTTTCTTGTAGTAATGTTTTGTAGTTTCCTTTGAATAGATCTTTTATGCTTCTGGTTAGATTTACTCCCAAATATTTTATCTTGTGATTAACTATTGTGAATTGTATTGTTTTTCTTAGCTCTGGCTCTGTATTCTCTTTGTCACTGTAGAGAAATCCAACTGATTTTTGTATATTGATCTTGTATCCCGCTACTTTGCTGAATTGATCATCTATGTCCAATAGTTTTCTTACTGAATCTTTAGGGCCTAAGTATACTAGCATATCATCTGCATAGAGAGATAATTTTACCTCCTCTTTGCCAATTTGGATACCTCTTATGTCCTTCTCTTGTCTTATTGCTATCGCTTAAACTATGGAAAGACTTTTGACAGAAGAAGATGTTCAGGTGGCCAACAGAAACGAAGAAATTCTCCAAATCACTGGCAATAGGAGACATCCAAATCAAAACCACAGTGAGATATCATCTCACCCCAGTAGCAGTGGCAAGGTTTAGTAGGGCAGAAGGCTATAATGTTGGAGAGGATATGATACACCGTAGGTGGTATTGTAAAATGGTGCAACTACTCTGAAAGACAGTTTGGCACTTCCTCAGAAAAGTTGAACACAGAAACTATATATGACCCAGGTATTCCATTACTAGGAATATACCCCAAGATAATTAGAAGTGATAGTGATACACAAACAGAGATTTGTTCACCAATGTTCATAGCAGTGTTACTCACTATTGCAAGGTCATGGAAACAGCTCAAATGTCCAACCACAACCAGATGGATTAAGAAATTGTGGTACATTCACACAATAGAATACTGTGCAACATTCAGGAGCAACGATTTAGAAAAATATTATATAACTTAGGAGCAGCTTGAGAGCATTATGCTAAGCGAACTAACACAGTTTCAAAAGGAAAAATACTCCATAAGATCATTATTGTAAAAATAGAAGGATAACTAGTAGAACATGCATGGGAACTCAAGTGAGGGGAGGGGTGACAGAGGAGAGGGGTGAAACCACAGGGTTACATAGTTTGGTGAGAGGAGAGAGGGAGAGAACCTGAGAGAAAAGACAGAGTAATGATGGATCCAATGGTGATTAATTTTATAAAACATAATGCACGAGAATGATTGTATGAAACACTATGTGTGTGAAAAATAGTGTGAAACACAATGTATACGAACTTTGTAAGCAAACCAATTTATAAGAAAAAAATGATTCAACAGCGTTTGGAAATTATTGAACAGTATCATTAAGATCACACATATAGGCAAGATCCTGCTGAAGATTATCCAAAAATCACTGAACTTTCAGATGTACAGAATGGGTTTAAAAGAGGCTGTGGCACTAGGGACATTACAGCCAATGTTATATGGATCAAAGCTAAAAGCAGAGTAGCAAAGTAATATCTGTATGTGTTTCATTGTGCAAAGGTATTTGACTGTGGATCACAACAAATTGTGGGTAACCTTGAGAAGAATGAGAACCCTAGGACATTTAATTGTGCTCCTGAAAAAACTTATACTTGGACCAGGAGGCAGTCATCAGAACAGAAGAAGGAAACACTGCATGGTTCAAAATTAGGAACGGTGTATTCCAGGGATGCATCCTATCCCCATACCTTTTCAATCTGTATGCAGAACAGATTATTCAAGAGACTGGATAATATGAGGAGGAATGTGACGTCAGGATTGGAGGAAGACCCATCAAAACTTGTGTTATGCATATGACACACCTTGCTTGCTGAAACTGAGGAGGGAGGACATGAGGCATTTGCTGCAGAAGGTCAGACACTACAGTCTTCAATATGGATTGATGCTCAAAGTCAAGAAAACAAAAATTCTTACCATTGGGCCATTTGGCAGCCTTGTGATAGAGAAGAAATTGAGATTGAGATTGTTAAAAATTTCAGCTTGCTTGGTTCCACAGTCAACATTCCTGGCACCAGCAGTCAGGTAATCAAAAGACGAATTACATTGGCAAAATGTGCTGTCAGAAACCTTGCCAGAGTACTGAAAAACAGTCATGTCACTCTAGAGACTAAGGTGCGCCTGATTAAAATGATGGTCTTCAGAATTACTTGCTGTGCATCAGAGAACTGGACAATGGCTAAGGATGAGAGAAGAAGAATCATTGCCTCTGAGTTATGCTGGAGAAGAGTATTAAACATAGACTTCTAAGAGAACAAACAGGTCTGTCCTGAAGAAGGTGAAACCAGGCTACTCCTTGGAGGCTAGGATTTTGAAGCTCCATCTCACATACTTTGAGCATGTTGCCAGGAGAGACCAGTCCTTGGAGAAGGACATCAAGGAAGGATGGAGAGAGGGACAGTGCAAGAGAGAAAGATCCTTAATGAAATAGATTAACTCAGTAATTGGGGTAATAATGAGAGTATGTGTGTCAAAGATAGTGAAATTGGCTTAGGTTAGGGCAGGGTTCAAAGCTATTGTACCTAAGATTGCTATGAGTCACAGGTGATTAAACAACACATAAAAACAGCAACAACAAGATGCCAGCAGATCTGTTCTACAGAAATTAATAATCTTCTTTTGGTATTAGTCATGTGATACTAGTTTTAGAAGAATGCTTTTCTAAATATGTCTTCTCTTTAAATTAAAAAGGTAATTTGAGGAAGAGGATAAGTTAGGAATTAATGTACCCTGGTACTGAATGAAAGAAACTTACTAAGAACTAGATTATAATGAATGGATTAAATAATCTCATACTAATGATCTTTCTTGTACGTGTATGATGTTTGCTATTGTGTTATGAACCCAGCATTACTATTCTTTCTTTTCATTTAGGCAGTAGAATGGCTCAGTGAACTTCTGGATGCTCTGCTAAAGACTCACATCAGATTGGGCGATGATGCTCAGGAAACAAAAGTTTTACTGGAAAAACATAGAAAATTTGTTGACGTTGCACAGGTACAGAACGGATTCTCTTTTCTACAAGCTCAGTGTTGGAATAGCTTTCAGCATGATTATAATATAACTTAACCCTTCATGTCCAGAAATAGAAATAGCATATGTTATTGTTGTTTACTGTCGAGTCAGAACCTACCCATAGCAAATCCTCCAGCGGGTTTTCTGAGGCAGTTAATCACATGGGAGGAGACTGTCCATCCTTCTCCCGTGGAGCCTCAAACCATGTGCCTTTGGGTTTGCAGCGCACGTTCTTGCCACTAGGCCATAAGAGCATCATGTCCAGAAATAGCACATAGTTAAGAAAATTTAAAAAATAGTCAGCTGGTGAATCAAAACTAGCCTTTATAAACTTAAGAAGGGTTAATAATATTTCTCTGAATACAAATTCTGTGTTTGCCCTTTGAATATTATTGCATATCTGGGACAATGCAGCTATTCTTACATAGACGTGAATGTGGCATATATGTTTGCATTCAGTGAATTAAAGGCTCGTTTCTGCTTCTCACCAATATTAGTTTCTCTCTCTTATTGCCATTGAGTCGGAACCAACTCAAAGCTGATCTTCAGCAGGTGTTTGAAGACTGTAAATCAATCACATGGGAGAAGATTTCTCCCCTGGAGCCGCTGGTGTATTCAAGCTGCCTGATAGTGCTGCTGTCGATTAGCAGTGCAACTCCCTACTGACTGTGCCAACAGAGCTCATCCCTAAGCTCTGTTAATATGCTGTTGATATGTGCTGTCATGTCTGAGCCAGCTTATAGATGACACCCAGCAAGTTTTCAGAGGCTGTAAATGAGCAGATTGCTCACTTGTTTCCCACAGAGCAACTGGTAAATTCAAACTGCCTGCCCTTGGGTTGACAGCGTGACTTCTTACCCAGGAGTCACCAGACCTTTTTTGGTTAATATAATAACCAATAGCAGTGTTAATATGATACTCCTTAATTATTTTTAAGGAAGCTCTGGTGACATCGTGAAAGAAATTGCACTGCCAGCGCAGAGGTATGCAGTTCAAATCTACCAGCTACTCTGTGGGAGAAAGTTGGCCAGTCTCCTGTGTGAGGTTTCCTACTGGTAAAAACCTGCTAGAGGGTCCAGTCTGAATCTATCTGTTCAGACCAGATGGTACTCAACACCATTTTTGTGGTGAAGATGACCTTCCTTCACTTTCTCTAATAATTTAGTTTACAGTATAGCAATTTTTATTTCATTTATGGAATTAAAAGTACCCAATTTTACCTACATGCTTAATTAATTTAAGGAGCCCTGTTGGCACAGAAGTTCAGCTAACTTAGATGCTAATTGAAAGCGCAAGTGGTTTTAACCCATCAGCTGCTCCACAGGGAAAAAATATGGCAGCCTTCTTCCCTAAACATCATTGCCTTGGAAACCATACAGGGTATTTCTTTGTGCTGTTGAGCTGTTACTCTATCCTTAGGTTTGTTACAAATTTGAGTCAAATTTGGTTTTGAATATTTTGTTTTTAACTAGTGTGGAGATAGTCTTTTTGGCCAGTGAAATTGAGCAGTCAGCGATAGATAAAACATAATAAGAATAGGAAGCAAAGCAAGACAGAAACTCATAAACTAAGTGAAAGCATTGCTTCCTCTTTTTGTAAGCCTAACTGTCTGAAGCAGTTGGATTCTGGAAGGTGTAAACTGGTTGGTCATTTTATATTTGACAGTCATTTGTGGGCTGGAAACCCCATGTTTAAACCAGTCAGGACACAGTGGTTGGGCTTTTGTGATTAAAAGTCGATTACACACTTTGGGCCTGGTGTTAAGACAGAGTTGCCATTAGAGACACAAACTAATTTGCTATTGTGTTGTGTTTGGGGAGAACATTGTTCTAATTGGCACAGTGCTTGTCTGTCAGTTTGCTGTATTGAAATAACTTGTGGTTTGCTGTGATACTGAAAACTGTGACACTGATGTATCAAGTGCCCTATGGGTTACCCATGGTGGACAGGTTTTAGTAGTGTTGCCAGATTAAGACAGAGTAGGAAGCAGAATTGACTATCCAATTAAACAACAGGCCTCTGAAATCCCTATGAACATAGTGCCTGTGGTAGAGGGCTCTAGTGTATCAGGAAGATGGTACAGGATAGGACAAGGTTCGTAGGGTTGCTATGAGATGTACTTGACTCAGTGACACCTAGCAACAACAACGCCAACAGATAATGTGTGGTAATGAGTGCCACTGCATGCCACACTGATTTCTAGTAATGTCAGACCACAGTCTACACAGACTTTGGTTTTTCATCTCTTCAGAATTCCTTTATTGTAATCTCATGTTTTTCTTCCTTAGAGCACTTATGACTATGGAAGACAGTTGTTACAGGCCACAGTTGTGTTATGCCAGTCTTTGCGTTGCACTTCTCGATCATCTGGGGACACACTTCCCCGACTGAACAGAGTATGGAAACAGTTTACTATAGCATCTGAAGAGAGAGTACATCGGTTGGAAATGGCTATTGCATTTCATTCAAATGCTGAAAAGGTTTGTTTTTAAAAAAATATAATTGCAGTAGTATGTACATAGTATAAAATATATTCTGTTATACTATTTTTACATTTACAATGCTTTTGTTTTAATAATTAATGATGTGATTGTTAATCTGTTGGGGGTGTGTTTAAATTCTGTTGCTCAAAGTTTGTTTTAGTGTAGGGTGTTGTTCCAGACATTTAAAATACAATTCTCTTAATTATTGACACCAACTAGTGCTAGGATAGAAATCCAGAATCATTTGGCGTCTCTGCACACTGCTCTCTTCTCACCCAGACCATTGCCTACAATGCTCTCTCTCTCTTTGATAGTGTTATGACTTGGTCTCCTTCACTTTGCCAGAAAAGTAAGTTCTACGTCAGTTGTTGTTGTGATATGTTGTTATGTTGACCACAACTCATAGCCATCCTTTGAACAGTGTCTTTGAACCCTGCCTACTCTATTCTGTGCCATCCTCACCAGCTCTGGCACTCTTGAGCATATTCCTAAAGACACTGTGTCAGTCCATCCCTTTGAAGATCAGTTATTGCTAATTGTCACAAAGTTTAAAAAAGGCAGTTTGTGAATTTTAGACTGTTAAAGATTATCCATCTAAAATTAAAGTAAAAGTAAACTTTTTCCATTTTTAAAAAAAGATTTATTATCAAACTTTAGTAGGCAGTGAATTGAAGGCTTATCATTCCCAGAATTAAAAAATGAACTACGCAGTGCTGTTTGGGCAGATTTTCAATAGAACATTATTCTTCTGAAAAATATTTCTGTAATTTTATTATCCTGAAAATGTATAGCATTTAAGCTATATATTTCTACTCTGAATTGGAGCTTTATATAAAAAAAATGTTGCAGTGTTCTTTTATGATGAAAGTTTACATTTAGTAGATAGTCTATATAATTTAACATGTTATAAATTGTAAATATAATAAACCTGGCCTGTAGAATAGCTGTTGTAGTAAAACTTAGAAGTTACTTCTTTATGTTGTGTATCTGTTGAGAAGTGTGCATCTTAAATCTTCTGGTCATTAAACTGTTGTGATTATGTATATCTAATGACAATAAATGAAAGTATGTAAGTTGACACAAATTATTATTTGTTTAATAAAAACTTTATTGAAGTATAATAAGAAGAGTAAACATATCATAAATATTTTACTCAGTGAATTTTCAGATGGTGAAATACCTTTGTAGTTAATACAGTACTGAAGAAGCAGAACATTTTATCGGAAGCTCCATCTCCATTTCTTCTGATCACACTGTTCCACTCCTTCCACACTTGTCCAACAAGTGACCACTTACCTGTTTTTTTAATACCATTGACTACTTTTTATGATACTATTTTAAAATGTAGTCTTCTTGGGTATTTTAAAATTTAAAACTCTTTAAAGAGGTAAAATAAGAATATGATTGAAAGTGTTTCGTACAAAATTAATGTTTACATTTTTTCCCCAGTAGGACGTTTTTTTATACTTATAATAAATTTTAGTTGAGATTATTGTATTGTACAAACTTATGTGAAATCTTTCTTTTTTTTAAACCAAATTATTATTTCCCTTTTAATTATATTCTATTTTATTTCAGTAAGTTTTATCATAACCACAATTATAACTATATAGTGTTTGTCAAAGAATATAGTTGATTTTTAATTCTTAAATATAATTAAGACTATTTCTAATTAATTTATTAAGCATGATTAAATTGTTAGAGTATAATGCAGAAGAAATTGCAAAAAATAAATAGTAACTTTTTCCTTTCCACAAACTTAGCAGTGCTTTTTAAGGTTAAATGTAAATGGTAATGCTATTATTGTTGTGAACCATCAAGTTTTATCTGACTCATAGCAGACCCTCCAGTGGCTTTTTATAGGTTAAAAATCTTATGGGACTTGATTGCCCATATTTCTTTGCAGATATTCTGGTGAATTTGAACCTTGTACCTTTCGGTTTATGGCATAAGTCCTTACCACTAAGCCATCAGAATTCTCTAAATGGCAGTAGTTAAGGGGAAACTAATAGTAGCTCACCAAGGACTGAGACCTTCTATTCTTAATTCTAACCTGATTAATTTACATCAGTAATTCAAACCAACAGATCCACTTTAAAAACAGCAATTATTTTAAATATTTATATAATATTATATAATAATATTGTTGCAATATTTATATAATATAATATTATAGGTGTGTTTTCTGGTTTGGGGTTGAGACTAGAGTAGGCTTTTGTTCACAACAGGACATGAGCTGATTGGATTTTGCCTCGTATTTATTTGGGTCCAAGGGTCTGCTTTTTGTGGATCTCCTGAATAAAACAGGCTTGGAAGCAGGAGTGGCATCCCCTTCCAAAATAAGCTTGCCTCCAGAAACTATGAACTTGGAGAAAAGAGGAAAGTTTTGTGTTCAAGACTTCGTTCATAGGGATGCTATGGGTCATCTACACAACAACAATATTGCAATATTTATATAATATATGATATGATACAATATACTATTGTAGTTGTCTAGTGAGGTCACCACATCTGTTATGTATTTGTACTTTTGAATATATGTTTTTAATTTTTTTTTCATTCTTAAAAATCTGTAAGCTCTGTGGACAGAATCGGTCTCATTCATACCCCAGACTGTTAAATAAACATACAAAGGAGTTTTTGTGGTATGCTTTCAGTGTGATCTAATGCTAACCACTGTTTAATAATAGTTCCTTAATGAATGAAAGACATTTCAGAAGCTCAAATTGAGCTTTTCAAATACTAATCTAATATCTTTTCTTTGAAATCATATAGACCCTTACTTATTCCGATTTTATATTGCCAGTAGAATTTATATATTTGATTTTGTTTGAATTCTTCGAGTCTACTTTGCCAGTAACAGTAGTCTTCATAATGGTATTGATGACAGTGCCAAAAACAAAACAAAGCAATGCCTTCAGTCATCTGCATTTATAAGAGCTTGATTTCCTTTCTGTGTGTTTTGATTGATGTTTGCCCTTCAATTTTTGCAGATTTTGCAGGACTGTCCAGAAGAGCCTGAAGCTATTAATGATGAGGAACAATTTGATGAAATTGAAGCAGTTGGGAAATCACTTTTGGATAGATTAACTGTTCCTGTAGTTTATCCTGATGGGTATGGTACAAGTCCTTGTAACAGTCCTGTGGGATTTTAAAGTGAAATCATCAAGAGGGGAAAGTCTATCAGTTTATAAAGCTATCTAAATTAGCTTTGGTCCACATTTTCAATTCTTAAAATAAATTGGTTCAAATGAAAATAAATCCAAACCTGCCTTTTAGCAGTAGTAACACTGGTACTTGCTGACATCAGATATTTTGCCTCTGAATTGCTTACTTTAGGAAAAAAGATCACTGACTCCATTGAAACACAGAGTGTTCTACCCTGGCTTTGCCTATGATAGTCTCAGGACTTTGGGGAGGTAAATTCTTCATTAGGCACCAGGAAATGACCTAATGTTTAATAAGTGCATATTATATGCCAAGTACTGAATAAAACACTTCATTTTCTTTTGAACTACTATGATTTCCTGTTTTCTCCAAATGAAAACAGAGGTTCAGGAAGATTGAGTGAGGTACTCAGGCTTTCATAGGTAGGGAGTTAAAATACAGTCTCAAGGCTGTCTGTCTCTAAACCTGTTCACTTTTTTCACTGTCCCCTGGGGTGTTCTAAATTCTTCATTCACGGTCATCAACTGATGGGGTCCTGATCCCATATTTCTTACCATTTCATATATTGTGAAATATGATGACACAAATTTTTATGTCAGTTTAAAAAAAATCTGAAACACCTTCATCCTTGAGGATATATACTATGTTAGTGAAAATAATTTAGAGGTAATCTGACAAGTAGATAATGCAAATGATAAAGAATGCAAACCAGAGAATGAAAAGGCAACAATTCTTATGTTGTGTTATAGCATAACCAATGAGAGCACATTTTGGAATCAGACTTCTTGAGTTTAAATTTCATTTCCAACCTCTGAATCTTGCAGTGTTTCCGATTCCTCATCTAAAGAGTTACTTAAAAATGGTGAATATTTCTCATTACAGGATGGAGACTGGCAGGGGTCTGGGGTATTAATTGGATGAACCAGTGAATAACATGTACATAAAGTACTTAAGCTATATCTGATACTTAAGAAGCACTTCTGTATAGTGCCCTCCAGATGATTATTTGGAATTGAAAAGAAGAAATTATAGTTTGATTTCCTCAAAAGAACATTATTCATAATCTCTTATTAAGAGAATCTCTGGTTATACCAACATTGGAGCTAGGAGAAGTAGCCTAAAGTCATGCGGTATAGATCTGCAATGAAAGGGGACAAGAAAGACATCAGAATTTATAAACTCAAGTAGTAACAATATTTATTGTAGAGATGCTGCTAGTTGTTCTATCCCAAGACTACTTGTTTTTATGTATCGCAACGGTTTGTCAAATAGTCTCTCATTCTAATCAAGTCAACATCTGAGTAACTATCCCTATTTTATCTGGTTGGAATGGAATTTTATTATACAAATTGTTAATGTCCCATTTCTTCATATTTTTAACATAAAAGGAATAACAGTATTATGTTTTCAAATTACAAAAACCTTAACCATTTGGAACTTTATTTTATTCCATTTTACATTCATTCTAGAATTTTTATCTCTTTTAGTATTTTGTTTAATTAAATAATTCTCTAAGATGTCTCAGTGTTTTCCATGGTTTACTAATATAATGATTGTTAATGTTGCACATTATTATGACAGTATTATATTTTATGAGATACATTATCGATGAAATAGAATAAATTGGGTTTTCTCTCTGGATTCACTGTTTGAAGACCCAGGTAGAAATCCATCTGTGGTCTGAGTTAAGTTATTGAACTTTCTGGACTTTTAAATTCTGATCTTAAAAAAATGAAGTAGCTCACTAGGACTAGCTAATGTTCAAGAAATCTTCTAACCCTAAAAGAGTCTTTGACTTTGGACATCATGCTTGGAAAGCTGGAGGGCCAGCTGAAGAGAGGACAACCCTCACCAAGATGGATTGGCACTGTGACAGCGGCAGTGGGCTCAAGTGTATCAGAGGCTGTGAGGATGGCACAGGATAGGACAGGATATGGTGCGAGTCTGTTGTTCATGGGATCGCTGTGAGTCATACTTGACTTAATGGCACCTAACAACAAGAACATGCCAAATTATGTCTTAACATTGAAAGAGTGTTTTACTTTCCACCTATATAATAATGGTATGCTTGATATGTTAAAGCATGTATACAAATTGTATAGTCTGGAATGCTTATGAACCACAGCTAAAAAAGAGTATCTTCTTTTCCTCTAAAAGCTGAACATAGAAATTTCATATGACCCAAATATTTCCACTGCTTGGAATATATCCCAAGAAAATGAGAACTGAGGCACAAATGGAGATATGTACACCATTGTTCATAGCAGTGTTATCACCATTTCAAGAACATGGAGATAACCCAAATGTGCCAACCACAATGAAATGGATTGAGAAATTGTGGTGTATTCACACAATGGAATACTACGCAGCATGCCAGAGCAATGATTTTGAAAATCACTACATAGCATGGGAGGGACTGGAGAGCATTATGCTAAGTGAACTGTCTCAGTCCCATAAGAACAAATACTGTATAAGACCATTATTGTAGAAATAGAAAGATAACTAGTAAAATGTATATGAGGATGCAAAAGGGGGAAGGTGGGAGTTGATAGGTGAGGATAGGCAGAGGGTTAATCATAGGGTCGCACAATTAATGGCTAGAGGGGGGTGGGGAGGAGAGGTTAAAGAGCTGGTACGAAAAACAATGTACACTAACTTTGTAAGCAAACCAGTATAAAATAAAAATCTTATTTAAGGAAAAAAAAATATCTTCAGTGTTGCATTATTTGGTCAGTTGACATTATCATAAGTATGTAATATGTCCTGGGTATACCACTGACATCTTTTTTTAACATATGTTAACCATTAATTTCTTTCCTCTTGACTTACTGCTCAAAGGTTGACATGGTGGTTTGTGAGTAGGCTAATTTTCATACACAAGCCATATCACAAAGACATTTTTAATGGTAACTTTGTCACGTTATGCGTTTACAAACAGCCAGTTGAGTTGATTTGTGTTTTATCTGATTAGGGTTTTTCTGTTTGTATTGCTTTCAGAACTGAACAGTATTTTGGGAGTCCAAGCGACATGGCTTCTACTGCAGAGCACATCAGAGACAGGATGAAGCTAGTTAGTCTCAAAAGGCAGCAGCTGAGACATCCTGAAACGGTGACCACAGAGAGCTAATACCTCCCAGCTCCGCACAGAACTACAGTTCACAGTCCCGCACGTGGCTGCGTCCCATGGCAGTAGACACCACACGTTACGATGCATTTCACAGCCAAGATAAGCCTCGTTTCTTCCTGTTACACATTTCTATCTACATGTTAACACCTTTAAACTTCCAAGTAACATGCTTTGAGACTACAGACTCCAAGTATCTTAAAAGAAGGAACTGTAAACATTGCACTGAAAACTTACTTTAAAGCTTTATCTGACCTGACAGTTTATAGATGAAAAGCCGATCATAAGCTTTGAATGGTGCTAATAAATGCTTAGGAGCTCTTTACAGGAAATAAATGATTACCTTCCTCCCCAAGTGATGTAGTAAATTTAGACTGTAGTTCAACCATTATCAGTAGACAGTGGTGTTCTCAAAATTTTGCTTTGTAATTTTTCTTCAAATTGGATTATTTTTATTGTGTTAATATAAAGAGAAAACCCTTCAGATCTTTGATATATCATATTCATCATAAGACATTTTCCTTTTTGTATTGATAATGTATTAAAAAATTGTGCTTAATAAAATGTTCTTTTAAATATCTTATTTAATTTGCTGGTTACATCCTATTTCCAAACGTGAGTGCCTTATTTGAAAGGGCATTCTTAGGATCGTTAGGTCAATTTAATTGTTTTTCCATGTTAGTTGCATGTGTTTTAGCCAGAAAATTTATATGTAAGCATGTATATAATAAATAAGCATGTGATTTATCAAGAAAATAGTTTGTGAAGAGTAATTTAGATCCTGAAGAACTTATTAATAATAGAATACTATTTCTAATTTTTCTCTTTTTCAACTTGAAAAATATTAGCCACATTTTTAACTCTCCTGAAGATACTTTATCTTTTGGGGAAAGAGGCTGAGGAAGAAGGCATTACATAATTACTTCAGTATAATCCTTTATATCAGAGTAATCTTTCTGGAGCTTAAATAACAACTGTTAATAAAATTTCATTTGTTGTGATAGACTAGAGAAAATCTGGAGTTCTAAGAACAAGTACTGTACTGTCCTTTATTATCATAACTACTAGGGCTTTAAGTTTAAGATTCTATTTAAATGATAAAATACATATGATTTAATTTTAATATTTTATTTGATAAATGTTTTGAGAAATATTTTTAAATTTTTTTGTGCTTTTATCAATACAATATTATACAAAGAATTGTATGCCAGTTCCTTTTTGTTGACTTGTAAATATGGTCATGTATCCTCCAGTGCAAAAAAGTTCCTCTGAACCTACTGGTTTCTCCACCCTCGCTCACTATCAGACTGACTTGTTGGAGAAATCCATATCCATTGTCTCTCCGTCCTCATTATTGGCAGAGCAGACCCTGACAGTCAGGTTTTACACAGCACCCTAGTGAACCTTTTCTTTCTACAGTTGACAGTGGCTCCCAGCTATCCAGTCCAGTGTTGTTGGTACTGGTTTGTTCTCGGTCTTCATCTCTTACTTCTCTATCACTGCAACATTTATCCCACTTAGCACTCTCCCAGACAGTGTCTTCTCCTGGAAGTCTTACCTTCTGCTCTGAGTACAGTACCATAACTCTTGTTAAAAATGTGCCTGCTGTCTAGGTCCTCTCTAATTTTGTCTTCAGAATCCTTCTGGACCTTCTGTGGGTATGTCATCTCTAGTGATTCTGCTTTTCCCCCCAGTGAATCCTATGTGCACACCCAGTCTTAAGTTCTAGACATTTAATTTCAGCTGCTTACCTGACATTTCAACCTACGTGAGGAATTTGTCATATTTATCATTTTTCTCCGACGGCAGTTTGATGAAAGGTGCGGCCTTTGTTCTAGTCACACATACCAGGAAATCTGGGAGCAGAAACCACCTCCTCTCTCTTATGCTGCCACTGCTTCCAAGAACACCTGGGAAGTTCTCTATACTTGATACATATTCTTGGTCTTTTAGGGCTTAACTCCTAGGAGTACAAACTCCTGTGATTTCATTTCCATCTTCATGATGGTGCTAACCACATTCTGCAGTTGTTTTGCCTGTCCTTGCTGCACTCCGTTGTTCATAGGGTCACTGTGAGTTGTAGTTAACTCAATGTCACCTCAAAACAACCACCACCTGCTTTATTAATGCATTTATTTTTTTGAGGCCCAGGGTCTTGTCCTAATTTTCCTGTTCTAATCCTTTTTTCATACTTAGTAGGCACTTCAGTCTGTCTAAGTGGTCTATTGTTGGCATTAGTAATGATTCCTTTTTTATTGGAGTCTAAATATATTTTAAACTCTACACTTAACCTCCCAAATTTAGAACTGACTGGTGGTTGAATATACTCAGAAGGCATTTATTTGGTGTTTTAGGTATTTAGGTGATGATGTCATTAGGTGCTATCAAGCCTGCTATGACTTATAGCGACCCTATCGATGACAGACTGCTAGAATCAAATTACCTTTTTAGTCACTTTCATCAGACGAAACAGTCTTTATATACTCTAGGCTATCCTATCTGTACAAAAAAAAAAGTAAAATAAGGCAGCATCTACAAATGTTATTAGTGAGCTTGAATTTTTCTGATAAAATGAAATATCTTGTTCTTCTTCTGTAAATTGCTGCCACTTGCTTTATATCCAGTTATAAAATGAAATTTTTCATATGGCTGCAGTGCATTTAGTGGCAATGTGAAGAAGGTTGCTCCTTCATGACTGCAGTCTGTTTGGAACTACAAACTATTTCTAATTCAAAAATTAATTATGGCCTAAAGGCTTAACAGGCAGAGACACTTGTTTTGATTGGTATATACCACAACTTCACATGTTACTTTAGCCCATCTCAGGGAATTACTAAAATACTGACTGAGTTTTGTAGGTTTTTTTTAGTTTGATGAATTTCTTTTTTATTTACACTGATATAAACTCAATGTCTTTAACGATAGTTTTGGCATGTCTTCTTTACACTTATATAACCCAGCAGAATTCTTATGTAAAGATGATAACTTCATCCCAGATGTAATTGGTTTTACTCCCAATCCTTAGTGTTGGTGACCTTATTCAGCTAGTGCCACTCATTGGTGATGATATTATGAAACTACTCAGCCTGCCAGCTGGGATGGCAGGTCCAGACTAAAGTCTGGACTATATAACAAGAGTGCATGCTTCTCGTGCATTGTAGGGATTTAAATTGTCTGGTTGTTGATGGCACTGAGTTCTGATATACTTCCAAAGGGTTATCTAGTCTTAATATGCTTATTTGTTTCATTGCTTTATCAGTTGACATATGATTTATTATCTAGTTTGTTTTATGTTATTTCTAGTCAGATAGTCCTTAATAGAAATAATATAATTAATTTACCACTCTAAGAGTGCTGGGGAAAAAAAAAACATACTTTTCAGTCTAAACCCATTATTATCAGTGATGTGATTTTAAGATTAGCAGAATGCTCTTCATTGTCAGAATTCAGAGTTCTCTAATACATTATAAGAAGTTCTTTGCTAGCCAGGATTGTATATTATTTTTTACTCTGCCATCCTCACATCTCCCCCAAACTGCACAGACACCATAGTAAAACGGTCTATCAAAGTTTAAATATACCATGAATGTAGAGACAAATATATGTAGAAAAGTACAGGCAGAAGTAAAGAGTGGCACGTACATCAGTGACAAGATTTATATGATCATGGGATCTTTGCTTAAACACTTGAAGGAAAAGTTCTCTAGGATTAAAAATATGGGTTCTAATGTATCGTAACAGCTAAATCTTATTAACAAATTTATCAGTGTTGATTTTCCATCCAAAACGTTTTGAAAAGCATAATCTAGGAGTGAGGAATACACTATTGGTGTGTAAGGTAGTACATGCTTTGTTGAGACAAAATGATGTACACATTTAACATCTGACATTTAACTTTTGTTACAAAACAGTTTTAACTAAGAAGAATAAATACTGGAAAAACAGTAGAGAAAAGGTCATGAAAACTAAAGACTGTCATGCATAATGCAAAGGTTTGCAATTTGAATATATCATTTCAAAATGTGACTTTGCCATTCACTAAGACCTTGGTGAAAAATCACTCAATTTCTCTGAGTCGATAAAATAGAAAAATCATACCAGGTAATTTTGAGAACAATGTAAAATTATATGAAAGTACTTCTAAAATTTGAGAATTAGAAAAACTTAAAGTGAACAGTATTATTATTATTATTAAAACTATCAGTACAAAATGAATTCTTGTTTATCTTGTCTCAACTGGTGAACATGGGGTAGGGGAAGAAGTGCCACATTGTTTGTGTCTACCTTCCCATTCTTAATCACTTTTTTGCCCCACCTCAATCCACTAGTGAATAAAGAAAATTTACATTCAGAATTACATACAAAATATACTACACATAAAGTTGCTGAGCTCATCAGTAAGTGAGAGTCTTCTAAATCTTTCAAGTTAACTGTTAACATGTTGTTGTGTGCCATTGAGTCAGAACCTACTCAGCTGAACCTCCGCTGAGTCTTCAGAGGCTGTAAATGAAAAGGGGAAAAGATGGTCATCTTTCTCCTGTAGAACTGCTGCTGGCTCTTTACAAGTATGCCGCGGGATCCAATTGAAGACATTATCTCTTTGGAGGCTGACAGGGTATTATGACACAGTTCCATTAAGAAATAGCAATAAAAATTATTCTCAGAGTAAATATTAATGAGCCAGCACCAACTTCCAGAAACACCAAGAACCAAAATTTGTGAAAGTATTGATGAGTTACCTCAATAACGAGGAAAAAGCCCTCAAAAACATGGTGTAAGATCACCATTGTGCCATTATGATTAGAGGAAAGAGGAAAAACAACTTTTGTAAACTCAGGCAGTGATGGTAAATAAAACACATAGAAAACCGATTCTGTAAAAGAAACAGAGAACTCCAGATGCACCCCTGAGATGCACTAGCATGGGAAATACCTAAGACTGAGAGGGTTGGATGCAGAGCTGGATAGGACTCAGTGCTACTGCATGACTTCAAAGCACAGTTGAAAACTTGGGAGTAAAACTGTGCTTGAAAGAAAAAATAGAGCCTGTACTAGATGAGAAATTTAGAAATCAGCAGAAAGCCAAATTGTGACTAAGTATTTTTAAGCAACAACTAAATGTTTTTTTTAAAGCATTTATTTCTGTTAAGGCAACTCTTGCATTGGATTGTATATAATTCCTATATGTATTGATACAGGACTTCTTAGGATATAGCTGAACATAGATAGTGAGGGATTTTAAATCTGACTGTAACAAAGGTCTATTGAACTCAAACCAGTTGTCAGTGAATATCAGTGATCATTGTGGAGGTTATTTACAAGTCAAATGTTCTCTTTAGAACATGTTTCTGTCCTTGGAGAGAGTACATTTCAAATGCCCTTCCACTAAGAGGGCTGTGCCCTCGTTATATATATGTCATCGTGTAAAAGGCCTCACATTGTTTGTTTTTTTTTTTTCACATTGTTTTTTGAGATTGGCAAATGTTGGGCAGTTTTGAGCTTGAGGACATTTGAGAACTATCTGTCCCCCTTACACTCAGGAATAGCCTTAACTTTATAAATGATTAATGATATTTTTTCTT